CGATAAATTCGAATTTTTCATCCCAAAAAACCCATAAATACGAAATTACACGAAATTAACTCGAAGTAGTCAAAAGATATTAAAGAATATATTATTAATTTTTTTCAACTCTGACTCTGTAGCTCTGTTATTGTCAATTTTTGGACTAAGGCAAGTTTAGTTAAACAGACGTATTTTAAGGCGTACCATAATCTGGTGGAGTGGAGCGTTGTACAGACCCTTTAGAGACACCCTGTACAACAGACACGGACGACGGATGTTACTGAATAATCAGATATCCAGAGAAAGGGGTCGCCGCGAACAATAATTTAATGTAATACAGCAAATTAGTGCAATAAGAGGATGCTTTCAAGAAAGCACCAATGACAATTGCCCTCTATTCTTAAGCAATGACGTAAGCCTCGTTTCACGGTTCTTCTCTTCCGTTCGACGAGCTGAATTCCGTGAACGCGGACTAAAGGAGCATTCTACTTGCAAAGGATTCAATTTAAATAAATTTAATCGACAGCGAGATGACATCATGTCGAAGAAGATGTTCGAGTAGCCCAAGGATATATTCATTTGCGTTTTGATGGGTTGTTCTTAATAATTGTTCATGTTAACGTCTGTTAAGTGTAAGATTGGTTCTGTAACTAATTTAGGGTATGGCGAGCGATATTTATAATGAAATTGGGTGTTCAATTTATCGATCAGATGCTGTTGCTTGTATTGTAAATGAATTAACAAAAAAATCCGAAATTCGGGTGTAGGTAAAGGGCAAACGCGTAGCCAGAATTTTTTATAGAGGAGGGCAAAACAAAAATACGTAATATAGGTAAACTACTTATTAAAAAATTGTTTTATTTAAACATTTGAAAACCTTGAAACATATTTTTTTTAAGTTTTGTTATTAAAATTTTCAAAAACATTTTGAATTAAAAAATAATTGAAAAAATAAACGAGTCAGGAGATACGAGTATGTATCATTTAAAAAACCCGGCTGACGATGATATTTAATTAGTAAAAAATAATTTTGTATAATAATAATTGCAAATAAATAAAACAATATATTTAATTTGAAAAATAATTTAATATAAAGTAATTTGTATTTATGTCGGGGGATGTGCCAAAAAAGGACATGCTTAAAATTATCAATGTTCCCGACTTTAATAAATTAAAATTATTTTATCTTAAATTAAATTTATAATTTTTTCAATTAATTTTTTAAAATTATTTTCAATTTTTTAAATGTAATCGTCAGTTTTAAATAGTTTATTTTTACCGGCGCAACAATTTTTTTATATTTTTTTTCTTCATTAAATGAACCAGCGCCCTAATCTGCCCCACAAATTTTCATAATGTACTTAATCTTGGATTTGAGGCGATTATAATTTATATCTTGGGTACGATAAGCGATATTTATAATTTCATTTTTTTATGTTTTCAAATGTTTAGGATAATAACCGTTTTATTGCGGGCGATGGTTTAGATGAAACATGGACTCGCTTGTCAAACCGTATCGTGTTATGCAATTCCAATAAAGTCTTTTATTTATTACTTATGCGTTGTTTTCTTAATAATTAATAATACTTCTAAAAACGTATTATCGTATATTTCATTCAGTATTTGGAGTTACATACTATCAAAACTGGTTTCGGCTTTGAAATAATTTCAGTTTTGGTTTTGTATAGAATGTGAAATTGTGGTTATTGAATACTAACGAGCGTTCAAATAAAAACGTGGTCGAAGTTGGCTCTGACACATTGGACGTAGGGAGTAGCTTATAGCGACCAACTTAACCTCATTTCTCAACGAGCTGTATAGCAGCTGTCAGTTTCAATAACGTTAATGACTTTATAACTTTATTTTAAAGAATAATCGTGATAACAATAACAAACAATTAAAGGAGCTTTTTTTAACACTGCGTGGCAGGTACCGACTGATACTCCCACCATTTGTGATAAAACACGTACAGAAGTTCTTGGCGCATTTTCCATTATTTGTTGGACATTTTCTTTTAATTCTTCAGTCCGCTTTTAGGTCGGCCGCTTCCTTCTTTTCTTGTTACACTGCCCGTTTCACGAAAAACATTAACACAACGCTGAACTGCACTTTGAAAAATTTTGTACTCAACAACGCCGGGAAATTGATTTTGAAATTCTATGAAACATTCCTCAATAGAATACTTCCATATTCCATCAATCCATTTCTAAAGTAGGACTCTATGATAAACACTTTTTGTTCTTGAGAAAATACCATTTTAAACGCTTTTTAAAACGAAAATATTCAAATTGATAGCGGCGATATAGCGCTTTGACAGATGAAGTTTAAGTTCATTTGCTATACGCTTCGCCCTACGTCCAAATTTTCAGAACCAACTTTACCACGTTTTTATTTGAACGCTCGTTATTTATTTTTCCAAGGAATCTAATGGTTGTTGCAATGAGAAAATATCCTATCATGACTATTTTTAGTCCAATAATTCATTATTGTTTCAACAATCTACCTTCTAGCAGAATGGTTAAACAAAATGAATTCGTTACGAATAAGAATTTTTCGAATCTATGTCGTCGAATTTGGGAAGTATTTTCATGTAAAAATTTCTTTTGTTTTTTTGTTATTTCATGTAAAATTAACCAAGGTAATTAATTAATGCTGTGTTGATCCACCCATTTAAAAAACAATGATCATAGAGTTAGGAGATAGCGGCTCTTAACAGAACCGGACTTGGTTTAATAATATAAATATGTATGATCACACAAAATATGTCGCAACGGGATTGTGGGATTGTTTCATCAGGTAGCCTCTTTAGTATGAAATTAATAAATATTAATAGAACTAAATTGTATATAAAAAACGCGAAACGTTTAGAAAAAAATGACATTTTGAAACGACGATTAAATAAAGATTGGTATAAATATGGTATGCAAAGGCCTAATCGTGTCCGAAATGACCAGATATTGTTTTCTCAAATGTCCAGCAACTTTTCCAAAAAAGAAACAAAATTTTGAAAAAAAAATTTTGAAAATTAAAAAAAAAAATTGTCGGAAAAAGTCAATTTCCAGGGTTATTATGGGTACATTAAGCTATACAAATGTTCCTAAATATTAGTCTTTTCATCAGTATTTGTAAATTATCAGCAAATTTTCTAAAAAAAACGTAAAAAGTCATATTTTTGCAATTTTTTCAAATAAGGAAAACAGTTTTTTTCGTCGAAAACCATGATAGGTTCTTATGGAATTTATTCATGTTTTCAAAACCGCCCTTGAATTTACTGTGCAATAATTTGTTGCTGAGATATCGATTATTAAAAGACAAAACTGTAATTTTTCATTCAATTGTCGATATTTCGGTAAGTGCTCGGTAACCAATAGATAGAAGACCTTTTCTGGTGGTATGTATTTCTTTTGATTGCTCGTAACCGCAGCTCAAAAACATTTTCTAAAATTCTTGAAACTAGATACTAAAAGCGTCAAAATGTTTTTTTTTATCTTGACTCGACCAGTTTTCATTGAAAATCACTAAAAAATTCATGAATTTTTTTTTATTCCCTTAATTTTTTCCTATAGTGTATTTATAAAATCAAAACTACACCTAAATTTTTAGTTTTAGTAATTCTTAAAATTCAGAGCTATTAAAAGTAAGTATGCGAAAAGTTAACTGGAGCTGTTATACATGAATAAGTAACTATTTTACTGTTAATGTGTTCATTTCCAGTTTATTAACTTTACACCATTTATCAGTATTGTAAATTTGCCCCTGCAAAATCATGCAGTCAGTTGAATTATTAATTTTAAAATATAGGCATTTTAAGGTTTTTTACAATCTATAACTTCGCACGAATCATTAATAAATAAAACAAGTAACAAAGGACCTAAATTGGACCCTTGCGGCAATTGCTAAGTAAGTTTTGGATTTGAAACCACTAATAAACATACTGTGATCTGTTATGTGGTACGATATAAACAGATTTAGTAAAAGACTTTTTTAGTCCAATATAATCTAGTTTATCAGTATCTTGTTATTTCCCCCCGATCAAAGGCTTTTGAAAAGCCAGTAACAACTTATTTTTTTTCCTGTTTATAGACTTTGAAATAAATGAGAAATGTTTCTCCATACACTCATGTTGACAAGTGGAATTAAGAGCAAGGTCGGATAATTTTGCAGTCAGGTAAAGTCGAGGTCCTTATCTATATAAAACAAAAGAATACATCAATTCAATTTTTCAATAAAAAGCTAGGTACCAGATCTTGTCCTGACGTCATTCTATTTTTCAATTTTTGAATGGTTGTTCAGTGCCAATAAATGATAAATTGTTAGTAGCGCTGGAAATCGACGACACATCTGACTTCGGCGAATAAACGCATTAAAAAGAATCACCGAATATGTCGATAATCTCTCGTGGGTTATTTAAATTCACCCTCAACATAAAACATGTTTTCAGGAGTTCTAGAATTACGTTTTTTGTTAGATATTAATGACCATTGACCAAAATCATCCAGGATCAAGTGAATTACACTCAACAGTGTTATTAAAATTTTTATAAGCTTCGTAATTTGGGTTTTAAATGTATATTAGCATCGTTGTAGACTGTATATTTACTGCGATACTTATCTCCAATTTTAATGTTTATGTTGGAGTACTATATCGGAAATTTGCGTTTGGTGTTTTTATATAAAGGTACGAACATATAAAAAATTGAGTATGACAGGCATTATTTTATTAATGCCTTTGAAATTTTCTAAAAATGTCCAAACAGTATGAAGTAAATCATTATACAATCCTGGATAATTTGCTTTAAACTTAAAGACTTGGTATTTAAATTAACTGGAAAATTATTCTCACTGCAAAGGATATGCATAATAATAATTATAGTATTTACAATGTTATTAAATTGAATTATATTTACAAATTAATTCGTATGTTTTCACAATAATGGTTCACAATCAATGTTGACACAAATTAAGAAACATGACAATATTAGGAAATATTGCATATCATTTTTTTCTTTTTTCTTTCAGGTCCAAGAAATAAACTGTCCCGTTTCGAGATCCCTACAACCTACGACCCGAGGAACAAAACTAGATTTCTCACCTATTAGTCACGCATCTGATAACGTCAATCCTAAATACAGATAAGGCTACTCATCACCTAATAATGCCACCGAGCCAGTCGATATAGGCGATAAGGAGGATAATGAACAGTTGTTAGTCGCGAAATGGTCGCGATGAGAACGCCACAGCGCGCGCGAGGCGTCTCGGACGCCCTCACAACCAAAAACGGTCGATTGCGCTCGAATCTGGCCTGCCTGGCGGCCACCTGCGCCATCCTCTTGGCCACCGTCGCGGTATCGGACGGCGGCTTCGCCAACAGCATCGACAGGATAACCAAGAACCTGGACGTTGCCCTGCAGGATCTCATGGACGACCTACCCAAGTACAGCAACTTCACCGAGAGCCGGGAGTACGTCAGCGCGGCCACGTTCAACCCCGTGGGGATGGCGGGGCTGTACAACATCACCGGGAAGTTCATGGATCTAGTGCTGGAGCCGGATTTCCTCATGGATGGTGAGTATTTGGTAGTTTATACTTAAAAAAAACTGGGGTGGGGTGGTGAGTTCCTCTTGGAAAAATGGTGGGGGTTGTTGGTGTAAGTTTTTCTCATTGACGTTGCCTTTCCGAGATACAGAGTGTTGAATTTGTTACTTTGAAAAGGATTTTTGTTAATTATCTTTAAACCGACTAAAGATAAACTAAACGTGGAGTAGCGGGGGGCTCTTAAGATAGTGTTTTTTTCCTGTGACGCATAAACGGCGAAGTTAACCTAAAAAATTCATAAAAGTAAAAAAAAAAACTGTTTTTCGCTAATGAAAAAAAAAAACTTTAACTCCAAACGAAAAGAGTTAAATGAGAAAGTGGTAGCTATTAAAAAACCTATCGATTAGTATTTTTAAATATATCAATTGCTATATTACTTTTCGAGATATATCGAAAAAACCGTCAAAAATCGACTTTGCTTGTTTTTGCTGTATCTCTTGCAAATTAAGGTTTTGAAACTTGTTAGTTGCTGCAAATGTAGCCCTCGACAAGTAAAAAAAGTGCCTTCTTTTAAATTAAAAAATATTAACAAATTTTCGAGTTATACCGATTTTTCTAAAAAAAGGTCATCTCGAAGCTCGGCACTTCTTGCTCGACGAATAGTCGTAGAGAAACGAATCAGGGCTCATTTTTTTCCTTAATAGTTGTACTTTCATGGTAAAAAAGAGTTATAACGATTTTATTCATTTCAAGTGTCCAAAAATGACTGAAAAAAGTAAAAATCTTTTGGTCGCGTTTTTCTTGAATATCTTTTTCGATTTTCATTTCTCGATAATGTCTATTACAGGAATCGATTGCTGGCATTTTTACGCGAATTTAAAAAAAAACGTTGCTCTACGATCTTCTGGAGCCGAGATAATTTTTTTAGTTTTTCAAAAAATTCCACAGGCCGCTATTTAAGTGCTACAGCATCCATTTTTACAGAGATTGAAGTTAAAGGCTTTAGTCCAAGCATTCTGTCACGGATTAATGTTAAATTTGCAGAAATTATTACCTGGACAAAAAATATTATATGACCGTATAGAAAATTAAATTTTAAATTGAGTTTCTTGTTCTTTAAACTCGATCCAATATGGCGAACATGGTTAAAAAAAATCGCAAAGTTGAAAAAAACGGTTTTTCTAAAATAACTAAAAAAATATAGCACGGATTGAAAAATTTTAAATGAGAAAGTTGTAGGTTTCAAAAAGATATATCGACTGATTATTTGAAAGTATCGATTGCTTTGTTACTTTTCGAGATATATCGAAAAAACCGTTAAAAATCTTCTCTTTTCTCTTCTTCTATAACTCGTTTACATTTACATGCCCATATTTGCTATTTACTGAAAGCATAGCCCGCGGCAAGCCAAAAAAGTACATTTTTGAAAAATTTAAAAATATTAATTATTTTTCGAGATATATCGATTTTTTGAAAAAAAGGCGCTCTCGAAAATTGGCTAGATCTTCTCAGCGGATAGCCCTACAGTAACGATTTTCGGTTTATTTTCTTTGTAAAGAGTTATATTATCATGATAAAAAATGTTGACGATTTTATTAATTTTAAGGATGACTGAAAAAGTTGCACTTTTTTCGGGTATGTTTTTTTCAAATAACTATTTCAATTTTTATTATTTTTTTGTACTTAATCTGAGGTAGCTAAACACGAATATTATAGCATTTTCGCGTTAGAAGCAAAATATACCCGTAAATGTTTAGTTTTCTTTCTTTAAAAGTAATTTGAAAAAAACATACCCAAAAAAGTGCAACTTTTTCAAAGTCATTTTTTGATCCTTAAAATTAATAAAATCGTCAACATTTTTTAACAGCATGATAATATAACTCTTTACGAAGAAAATAAACCGAAAATTGTTACTGTAGGGCTAATCGCTGAGAAGATCTAGCCAATTTTCGAGAGCACATTTTTTTCAAAAAATCGATATATCGAAAAATAATTAATATTTTTAATGCTTGCAGTAAATAGCAAATATGGGCACGTACATGTAAACGAGTTATAGAAGAAGAGAAAAGAGAAGATTTTTAACGGTTTTTTCGATATATCTCGAAAAGTAACAAAGCAATCGATACTTTCAAAAAATCAGTCGATAGATCTTTTTAAAACCTACAACTTTCTCATTTAAAATTTTTCAATCCGTGATATATTTTTTTAGTTATTTTAGAAAAACCGTTTTTTCAACTTTGCGATTTTTTTTAACCATGTTCGCCATATTGGATCGAGTTTAAAGAACAAGAAACTCAATTTAAAATTTAATTTTCTATACGGTCATAATTTTTTTGTCCAGGTAATAATTTCTGTAAGCATTTCTCTATAATGCTTGGACTACTTATATTTATTCTGGACCACGTATAAAAATCCTTTTGTACTTAATCTGGGGTAGCTCTACTAGATAAACCAAAGTATGACATTTACGACGGCCTCAAAAGCATAATTACCTTTGAAAAGTGTAATTTTCCTTTAGTCTAAAATTCTGCCACCTCTATGTTTCCAGGTGGTATTTTTTGTAAATTTAACATTAGGCCGTGACAGATTGATTGGACCCTAAATCTGTAAAGTGTTTACAACGGTGGTCATGGTTACCATCGCGCAGCAGTGAAAGATGGAGTGGTAGTAGCGCATATTTACTATGCAGTTTGGGCTTTGCTTAGTTCGCTACTAATGATAGCTTTTCGCCGTTTTTTTCTTATTAAACTTATTTTGTTCAAGTGTGGTGTAAAGTTTTGTTATCTACATATTGTTCCTTGTGTGTTTTTTTAAAAGATTGTACAAGTTTCAATTAGATTGTAAACACTGACTAACAGCACTTGTAATGCTCTATCTCTGGAAGAATTAGTATTGCGAAAATTTAGTTTATTTTATCAATTCTTTCTATTTTCGCTTTTTCACAATCTTTGTTAGTAACTAGTTACTATATTTATAAATGACAGCTTTTCTTATCTTGACATAAAGCAAATTTAAGTAAGAATATCAATTATCAGAATGGAATGTTGGAGTCAATCTTTTTAATATTGGATTTGTCTCCAATTTGTATCATTACTGGTACCAGATCCAGTGGTTTTACTGATTTTATGTTTGACGTCACTACTTAAGGAATAGTCGTATCGAAAGTGATATGCGTTTATGTAAAATGTTATACAGGGTGATTCGTAAATGAACCGACACATGCAAGATCCATATAGGGATTTATCACTTTTTACCATTACAACAATCGATGCAAGTTTTATATTTCTAATAATTTACGAAAAAATTTAACCGTATTTAATAGACTGAAATAACTTTTTTATTGAATTTGTTGAATAAACTAATTAATTTAATCAGTATTTAAACTATATTGAATGGTTGTCCATTACAATAATCGAGATAGACACATTATATTTTATAGCACAGGGGCGTAAATGCAAGGGGTCGCTAAAATACATTCTGTGAATTCACGTCGAATTTCTTTAGACAAATACTTTGTTCTCAAGACCTGACTAAAACCGCTAATTTCGTAGTAAGTAGGTAAATATCATTTTCCCTGCTTTGCTTATCATAATACAAAGTAAATTTAAATGAGAATATCAATTCTCAGAATAAAATGTTACAGTCACACTGTCATATCTTCTGGGATTTTCCTTCACTGTGAATTATTAGATAGTGGTAGAAAATCCGGTGGTTTTATATTTAATGATATCACGTAGACTTAAAAGAAACCACATCATCGCTGTGGAAGTTAGTCTGGATAGTTTTATCAATTCTTGCTACAATATGGTAATGCCTTGAGTTTTATAGGAATAGAACAGATTAACCAAAAATTAAAAACGCCTTATTCTGAATATAGTTGGAATGAAATTGATTTTCTTTCATCACAAGTTCATATTTCGGATTTATTTCACTTACGACAACGACTAAAGTGAATAATACAGGATATAAATTAATAAATTTATCACTTTCTTGGAAGAACAAACGAACAGTTTCGTACCAATTCAAATTCCTAAGCTGATCCTCTAATCATGGCATCAATTTTTGTACAAAACAGCTTTATCTTTACGAACACTGATCTCACAAACAATTCATTTTCAATATTAAAAGAGAGATTAACCGTCTATTCGAGACTTTAAGGTATTGTTTAATACCCGCATACCTCAATCCTATGTTGCCGTTCATTTTTGAAGGTTTAACTAAACAAGTAAGTAAGATAACTCTTGGTATTCTCAGATCTTGGTTAGAACATACTACATTTTTACATAGAAAGAAATGTATGCAATGTTTTCCCCCCAATTGTTCACAGTGATACTACAAATTGTTGCTAAAATGGTGACAGAAAAAAAAATGCAAATAAATAACATAGATTTATAGTAATAATCAGTAAGTAAATCAACATTGTGTAAATTTTTATCACAAATTTAAACTGAATGTCGTACAAAATCATTCTTGAATTGTTGTAGTTCTAACAATTGGTGCAAAATTCTATTGGTGGTTCGCCATTATTCCATGGCTAGAAATTGGCCTCAATGATTTGGGATCGAGGGGGATTATCCCTCTTTATCCTGCCTCATCTCGTGTAGGCCTAGACAGCCTTCGTAGGTGGGCCCCATCCGTCGTCTACCCCGACCGCAAATGCGGCCGGTGTAGGCGCTTTGTGGGACCTCCTTTTGTCCTGGCTGGGCCCCGCCGGTTAGGGCCCTTTCTTCTGGCGCTCTTCTTGCTTCGCCGGCTCGTCTGTGTAAACCCCGGGGGTGGTGTCATGTTTATGTGTGGTATGGTTGGGTAGGGTAGTGCGGCTATGCAGCCTGGGATGCGCTTTGCTAAGGTGGCCCTAAGGCTAGCGCGGGAGGGGAGGGGTAAGGAGGGTATTTGGAGTGTGTATGTGTGTGTGTCGTTGTCTTCGTTTCTTGATCCTGGCGGTAATTGGTGGTTGAGAAATTTTTAGGCAGAGTATGAATATTTAATTTGTTAAAAATAATTACACAATATTGCTTCATTATTCAGCG